GTATTTTAAGATCTTCTAACAATTTATAATAAAATACTCATAAAATCACAGATTCTTAAATAACACGATTTGAGTTCCTAGCAACAATTGATATTAGTAGGGGAGTATTTAGAGAAATTTTGTAAAAAAAAAAAGAATGTTTTATTATTTAAATGAMATGCTAAAAAAATGTAACCTTAAAAATACAATACATAGAAATCATCATAAATATTGAGTCATTTATTATAAAAAATTATCATCAGATTCGCACAAAAGAAACTGTGTGATATACAATTATTACTCATATCAAAATTAAAATGGAATTTGATTAACATTGTAATATTAATATTTATTCATTATCCTCTAGATTAAATGTAACATGTTGAGCCAATCTTTTTTCTGCTTTTTTAATTAGCTTTTCACGACCTCGTGGTTTTTTAGTTTCTTTTTGCTTGGTACATTTAATTTCTCTATCTCTTAAAATTTTATTCCAATACAGCTTTTCTTCTTCGCCTATTCCAAAATCATATAAGTTTTATATAATTAAAATATCAAGTGAATATTTACCAGTTAATAATCTAGTTTGAGGCCATCGGTTTTCTTCTGCTATTTTTTGAGCAGTTTCTTGACAATCGCATCGTACATAAGCTTCAGAATTGTGTACAACATCAACAAACTTTACACTTGGATCAATTTTTGCTTCAGCCTTAAATATTAATAACAAGAAAGATAAAATAATGAATTTTTTTTTGATCAAGTTTCAAAATTAAATATGATATTTATTATTATAGCATTGGGAATTTCAAATACCATAATCTCAACAGGATTCAATGAAAATAAAATATGAATATTGATGTAATCCAACATTTAAATGTTGAGTTTTATTATTTTATTGTTTAATATCAGATGCAAATACTGATTTAAAAAGTTAAAAGATACTATGAAACAGTCAACAAATTATCAGATTAAAGACATAACATATTGTTATAAAACCTGTTCAATGATGGAATAAAGAACATCAATAAGTAACTAAAAATTATAAAATATATAACAATCACAATTAATATACATTAAAAAACAGGCAGCAAAAACGTGAACAAAAATTTAGGGTTTTGTCTGAAAGCAGTTTCAATTTTTTTTAGGATATGGGTTTCGTKTTTGAAAATGGTTTTAAATTTTTTCAAGTTTCAGGTCTGAAAAACTGTTTTGAATTATGCTATTATTGGAAATATTAAGTTTTTAAGAAGATATAATATTTCTTTTTGAATCAAAAGCAACTTAAATATGTAAAAAGCATTTTTTAGTATTCAGTATTTTAAGAATGAAAAACGAATAGAAATATTTGGAATAAAAACAATTTGCATTTTTTTTAAAGATTCGTGTCTATAACAGTATATTTTTGAGTTTGGTGTACGAAAATGATTTCGATTTTTATCAGATTGCCCAGTTACAGCACTGCATAATTAGTTCATTTCAAATATACAACTAAATAAAAATAAGCTTGAAACTCGACATAGGAATTTCTATTCCTCTTAAACTGTAATACAACAGGTACATAATAAAATACAAAAATGAATAAATAAAAATATCATACTTTAAATAATTTATCAGATTCAATTGGATTTGCAAATGAAATTTTCAATATAACACCAGGTTCATACTTTACACGAACATCATTCTTTTTGAGTAATTCTACATCTAGACTTTCAATATTAGTATTGGCCTCATTACTTTTCCCCAAATTTTCATGAAAATGAGTATTGAAATTTTCATTAAATGTTGGACGCCGCAACTGGGCTTTTAATAAAGACATTTTTTGTCGCTGCATATTTAAAAATTGATTTCTTAGTTTTCTCCACTCAGTTCTAAAACACATAACAATAAATAAAAATATAATATATATTTGAAAATATGAAATATTTTACTTTGACATTATTCTTAACACAGGTGAAGTTAAATTAGTATCTAATTTGACTTTTTTTCCTTTATTTCGTTTTCTTTTTTTTTTTTTATTTGAATCAGTATTGTTTGGCTCAATACTTGTTCCTTTTTTATCATCATCACTTGTGATTATTTCTTCTGGTTTTGAAATACTGATATCAAGATTTTCAATTAAAKCTTTTTGGTTATTTTCACTCTCACTAATTTCAAAAGAAGAATTTTTTTGTTCACCATCCAAATCACTTTTCTTAGTTTTATCTTTTTTCTTCTTCTTTTTACTATTTTTAATTCCAGAACAGCTTACTTCAGGAGGTGTTTCTTTCTTCATTTTTTTTTCTTTTACATCTTCTATGCTGATAGAATGTTTTCTTTTTTTCAACAACCTAACATTGTCAGTACTTGCATCTGTATCTTTTTTATCTCCATCTTCTTCAAAAGTAATTATACTTTGCAGTTCTTCAGGAAGAATTTTTGATTCCTCGTGTAATTTTTTATATTCCTAACAAAAAGTTGTATTATTATTATTATTATTATTATTTATAAATTCATGGATAAAGGCAATTACTACAATGAAAGAATTTTTAATAAAATGGGTATAAAGCAAATAATTTACCACATTGATTTAAAAATTTCGGAAATAGTGAATACAAGTACAAAAACTAGTTTCCTTTTGAGTATCATATTGTTAATGACCAATTACTGACATTCAGTGTATTGGCTGTGCTTACTCAATAGGATTTAATACCAGCTTATTACCATTCCCTTGTTGGGTAGGAGGAAGGGGAGTGTTTTTTTTCTGAGACAGCTACCTAGTCTGAAAAACATATCTCTTAAAGGCAGGTTTGAACTGCTTAGTTCACTTTGAATTCCATTCCTAATCAAAGTAATAAATTTATTCTACCACCTTTAAATATACAGGGTGTCTCGCGAGGATTTACCCATTGCGACATCTCACAAAATAATGGAGATATCAAAATTCTGGTTTTATAATAAGATTCACAGGGATAAGAACTACAATTATTTCATTTTTAAATTTATTTCAATGTTTCTATAAAAAATGTAAAAAAATATTAAAGATAGCCATTTTGTAGTTTATTTTTTTGAAAATGTTGGCGTTTCAAAAATACACCTTGTATATTAAAATTTTAAAACATTTGAAATCTTAAATGGGTGACCATGGATAGGTGTTAATATGTAGTAGCCTGTCTTGCATTAAATTTATTAGAGTACCTATAGCCATACATAATCAAAATTTGTGTGCCTGTTGATGCTATATTGTCGTTACTATCAATCAGATGCGTGACAGTATCAAGAATATTAACCTAAGATCATGTATAACAAACTAGAGTTGCMATGATTTTATACTTGGTAGAGCCAACTTGAAGTATATAATTTTACTAAAAGACCTAATACCTATAATAAGGGGAGAAATTTTAATTTCAAAATTCTTGCCAAGTATACCTATTATAAACTGTCTACATTTCTACATTATAAAATAATATTTTGTACWCTTGAATTGCACACAAGTACTAATAACTAATAATTACTTCGACAACTTTGATAGCAGATTCTTCGTTTTCAAATTCAATAAATGCAAATCTTTTAATTGTTCCACTCTTAAATTTAGGCAATGAAATATAAGCAACACTCCCATATTTTTCAAATATTGATTTAATCCAATCATGATCTGCTTTAGGAGGCAATTGTTCCTAAAACAAACAATAATATTTTATTTATATTGATTAATTTAGATAGTATTAAATTTATGCATTAGAAATATGAAATAAATATTTAGAATCAGAAAATATAAATTTTCTTATATTTTGATTGACTTATATAGTGGTTCTTAACCGGCATTCTATAGACTTTGTATAAGTGCTCGGCAAAAAATTTAAAATCATTGGAAAAAAATCCATTAGGTATGTTTCATTGTTTTAATTTTTTGACTTTTATGAAMTTATGAAACATTAAAGTATAAGACGTATTTAATTGTATGGAATGTAATTACTATTTTAATAACAAAATGGACAAATTTCAAGACGAAAATATAATTTTGGAGGTGATATACAAGTACAAAATATAAGAAATATCTTTGATGATACTTTTGATACTAAGAAAAATAAAAGTTAGAAGACAATATTGCAATTATTATTTAAATTTTGGGTTCACTTATGTTGACAAAAATAACTGTCAAATTACCTTTGCATGGATTGTGGGGAAAAGCTTTCTAATAGCACGTCTTCACTGTAGTTAAAACGACATTTTCTATCTAAACCTTCCATTCTCTAATTATTTTAAAACTCTCTTTAATTTATAATATATATTAAAAATGTATATAAATACTGTTGTATTTTACTGCTGTTTTATACGAAAATCTTATAAAATGTTAAGTGTTAAGTCATTCGAAAAAGGTTAAGAACCACTGATCTATATAATACTATTTTGTATATCAATCAATCACTATTAATGAAGATTAGTCTAACAATGTTATAGCCATTAACTTTATTTATGTTTTAGAGAATATAATAGATTCTTTAAAAAATATGCAATATTACAAAAATATATTATAATTTATGAATACAACTAACCACATATACGGTACAGCGTTCAATATCCTCTGGTAGTTTTTCTTCAATAGGCTTAATTCTATAAATATTGGTTTTACAGTCACTAACAGATAAAACACTAGAGCTTTCTATAGCTTTAATTATATCTTCTGGATTTTTAGTTAAACTCTTAATTTTATTACAATTYAAGAATGTATCGATACTTATACCTACAAAAATAAAATTATCTATTTCAGTAATTATTCATAGACAGTGGCTTAAGAGCTAAATTATAACATTACGAACGTCTGAAATAATATATTTTATCAAATATACATTTATCAGCCCAGTCAAATATGGGATAACAATATAACACTTTACTATACTGGGTGATTCTTTTATCAAACAACACCCATTATTTAAAAAAGTATTGACTTTTTTCAAAATATTTTTTTACATAGTTTCAAGTTGTTAAAAAACCAACRYTTTTATTAAAAAATTATATTTTTAAATATTTTTTATCCTTATCATTTTTTAAGTTTTTTACTTTTTTAAATGGCAACATAGTTTTTTAATTTAATATTCCAAAGCGGAATATTTTTCTAAAAATGTTGATACATAAAAATCGAATTTAGGTCGAGTAGTTTATGAGTTATAAGTATTTAAAGTTTAGACAAGCGGAGTAGTGGACAAACATTTTGCGGGGTAACCACATACCACTCCACTCTGCCAATCAAAACTTTAAATACCTTAACTCATAAACTACTAGTGCTAAATTCAAAATTTTAACGTAATAATTAAT